CGGCAGGTTTACAAGATGTTTAACCCCAGTCATTTACACTGAAGCCACTAAGTTGCATCAGGTATAATTGGGCATCCAGTTGGGCACAGCAGTGTGATACCCCAATAACTGGAGCACACCCTTTGGGCCCCCCTTTCTAAAAATGCGAACCACCACGCGCTCTGCCACACCACAGGCACGGTCTTCAACCTCCACGTGACACTGTAAAGGTCAGTCAAGACAGACCAACAATGTCCAGGGCCTTTAGTATCTCATGGTGAATCTCATCCACACCTGAGCTTCTTGACTGCGTCAGTAACCTATTATATGGGTGAGGTTCCCCCAAGTCTTAAAATGTTGCATCCTCCACAGCAGACTTGTTGGTCAGGTTTGGGGGTTCCTCAAGTACTGTTTCACAGCTCTACAATATTCAGCAGAGTCAGGAAGTGGACACAGGGAGCAGGAGCAGGAACAACCGTCGACTGGACACGTAGAGCAGGAGTCGGCCGGACGGCTGACAGAGAACCAGGCGGGACTGGCGGTACCTCTTTGGTACTGAATATCATAGTCTCTGTTGTGCTAGCCGGCTGAATCTCAATGAAGCTAGGGGACAGAATCTCTGGGGCTCTGATCAGCTGAGTCTGCAAGATGCTAACAAGCTGAATAAGCAGTGCATAGTGTAGTGTTGGATTGATGTTTGGAACTAAAGGCTTGCTGGCCGTTCCTCTGTGTTACACAACAAACTCCCCTCTCCATCTCTGACTCACGTTTCCGCCCCGCCCTCCTGAAAGAACTCGCCTCTGGTAATTAGCATAATAGGTTCCCTTTAAGCGTAAGTGTGTAGTTGAAGCACGTGGGCAGGCAGACATGTTGCTCCTGTACTGAAGCCATGACATATGAGAAATTTGTCGTTTACCTCTTCTAACATATGTTAATAGCCCAAATGGATTATGGATTTCTTATAGTATCTAGCCATGCAGAGGTTTTGAAGTATCTGTCCACCCCAATACAATGGAGGTGCGAATGCTGAAAAATTACAGGAATGTGTCTTAATAGAAACAATGTCTGATGACAAATGTTCCCAGTGTGTTTTGTGGATTATCCAGAGGAAGTGAAACATTATTCACCTCCATTGTGTTGTATTGTTTTTTTTTGTTTTTATTTAAGGATTTTGTTGCATTCCTGTTTCCTCTTTCCATTTGCTTGAACCATTGTTATTTTTCATGGATTTCACTTGTAAGGTCTCTTTTAAAACAATTTGCAATGTTTGATAAGTCCTCAGTAGATAAACTGCTATTATTAATTTTATTATAAATCATTAATATTATTATTACATAGAAGAAGTAGTAGTAGTATCTTTATAATTGTATTAAGAGGTTTAAAATCTTGTGTTTTGATGTGAAGATTAGCGCCAAAAGGGTGTGAAGCATATTAAGCCAATAACATCTTCCCTTGTGTTATTCTGTGTTACGCTGTCACCTTTCATTTGCATTCTATGTAACGCCCCATCTCTCTGTCATCCTCCCCTGCTTCTTCATTGCCTCTCCCTTAACTCCATTTTGCGCTTTCTTTCTCCACGTCTCTTCCTCCTTCCTGACCCCTCTCCGGCTATAGAGCCTGCTGCTAAGGAGGCAGAGGTTGCCCGCCGCTTCTCTCTCACCTCATCTTCCTCCTCCTCCTCCTTCGCTACGAGACGCACAAAAGGTACCTGATTAGTCCAAAGTATTCCTGCCTCCACGTTTTGCCTTATTGCTACATCTTGCTTTTACACTCTGTACTCTATGTCTTTCTCTGTTCTGTTCACATTCAGTACTCTTACACAGTCAGGTGCACAGCCAACTACTGAATGTGCACAGATGCTGTTCACAGAGTGGTGCAGCTCAACAGGTAGAAGGCTAATTATTACCCTGCATTTCTTGATAGGCTCATTCTGTGGTGCAGTGTTGAATACAATGGTGAGTAAATGAAGACCTTTGGTCAGATTATTATAAAGTAAAGAAAGGCCAATACAAACAAAACATTTCTTTGCTAGGTGACAGTGGTGTTTTCAGCTTAGCAGAGATTAAAGCGCTTTACAGTGCATGTCACATTCACCCCATTTATACACGGATGACAGAGGCTGCAATGCAAGGTGTCAACTGCTCCATCAAAGAAACGAATCATTCTCACACACACACTCCCACACCAGGCATCAAACTGCACATCTTCAGATTAGTGGGCGACCCACTCCACCTCTAAGCCATAGCTGTCCCAGTAGGAGGAATGCTTAGAATTGTTATATGATATATTCAGGGTTAATTTTGAGGTAGAAAAATGTGTTCCAATTAAAAGATGAGAAAACAGTGTTCAGGTGGGTTTGAAGGAAGCAAGGGAATAAGAATTTTGATGAGATGACATTTGGAATGTAGCATAGTGGCAGTAGAAGTGCAATTTACTGCAGGAATACAGATGAGAGGCAGGAGGGGAATTAAAAACACCAGAGAAGAACTATTGAAGTTGTCCCTTGAACTATTCCCACTCAGTTTGTTCTTTATTTTTATGGTATTTTTCTTTTTCAATAACATAGGACTGATGAGAGCGCTATGATGGCTGTGAAGTGCTCAGCTCGGAATGAGGCTGTAGCTTTTTGGCATCTTATTTTGAAATGTCATCCCCCTTGTGCACTAATATCAGGAAACACACAGCTGCACTATACTATAAGTATGCCACAATGTACCCTTATTTTATACATGTATGTATCATGCAGATTTAGTAAGTGGCCCTGGTGGGGTTGATTTTCCTAATCTCAGTGTTGTTAATCCCATTTACAAATTGAGGATAATTAACTTGTTTATTATTCCAGAAAAAGACATTTTAACATCTCACTGTAGGGAAAAAGCAGGCGTAAATAATAAAATGAATGATGACTGAATTCTGTTTAGTCACTTTAATTTCAGGTTCCTTGTATTGTTCATGCTGTTCATGTGTATCATGGCTAACTTGGAAAACCGAGCCATTGTTAATGTTGTTAGTAACGCCTGTGCTTTTCCTACTATGAAGAGTCAAAATGTCTGCTGTGAAAAAGACCCCTTTTCAGACAAGTACTGCACTCTGCAAATGTACTAGCATTTTACAGGATGGTTTCACATTTGAATAAGGCCCTTGAGTAACATATCTGTAAAAGTTATAGCAGGTATAGGACCTAGTAATACTGTATATACAAAACACTTTATGCACTAACAAAGATTCAATTTAATGCTGTCATATTAACACACAGCTATAGCATGCACAAGGTTAAATACACAGAAGGAGGTATTTAACATGCAGCAAATTAATCCAAAACATTCAAAATTTGACGTTGATGTTTTTTGTGCTGAAGAAAATCAAGTCCGTTTAATCCAAGAAAGATAATTTATTTCACACCTGATGACCCTCAAAAATGTATTTTGTTTATTTTATTCACAAAAAGTAAAGACTTCAACTTCCATTTATGCCAGTAAGAATATCCAGCAAACAACTCTCAAGTCTTCCAACTCTCATGATGGTCATTAATTAAGTCAGTCGTTCAGCGGCCTACATTTTTAAAACGTACTTGTGCAACAGGTAAAAGAGAACTGAGAACAGAGTTTTCTCTTGATATACTCTTTCCCATTATTGCTGTTCCCCAGTAGGCCACTGCTACCTCTGTGTACCAGATGACAGTGACAATTATCATACGATTGTGGTTCTTTTCATAATGGTCTGTCATAACAAACATATGTGTATATATATATATATATATAATGTGTGTGTGTCAAAAAGCTGTTATTTTAACAGATAATGTTGCAGGTTTCATGTCTGAAGGGCTTGTTGTCTAAAGGGGGTTTGTGGGTAATGCTGTCAGTATCTAATTATGCTTGTGGTTGCATGTTATTTCCTCTGGCCAGGTCCCCTCTCTGCTAGCATAAAGAGCAAGAGACACGAGATAAAGAGTGACCCCACTCCCTTTGGTTATGAAGGTATATGGACATGCAAAAATAGGGCATGTATATAATGTACAGTCTTCGAGCATGCTGGGCCTTTTAGCCTGTTGTTTGGTTAATTAGGCACCTCTTTTTGTATTTGTGGATGATATGTGCTTGCTCACTTTTCGAATTTTCCATTTCTGGCCTGCTGTGTTGACTTGTTGTGATTTGTGATGTGACGTTTCAAAATGCATGAGCATCAAAGAGAATCAGATAAAATATTTTGTTGTAGTTTTTGTGTGTTGAGGGGTTTGTTGGTTTTTAGGCCCATTGACTACTTGGTTGATTTCTGCATGAGTAGAGTTGCACTGCTCTCTTTACTAGAAAGACTGAATCTCATTACACTGAATCTATCACGACCCTCATGTTTTAACTTTTGGTTGACGATGTTAAGGGACGATCATGATGAAAAGTATGGTATAAAGCATTTGGCTTCCCTCCAGATACTTTGCGTGGTGCTATGGCTGCAGTCGGGAAACGTCAGAGCATGATTAGCAGCACTGCTACTGCTGCTAGTGACACCTCAGCTTTCCCTAGATCCACCTCCCAACCAGGTAACCACATAGGAGGACTCATTTGTGTGTGGTTGTCTTCTTGGTGGAATTGATTTCAGTGTTAACATATAGTTTGTTTTAGTATTGTCTTCTTTCCATAGTTTCTAATCCATAACTTCATCTTCTTTCTGCAGATATTGATTTCTACCCATAGATCGATCTTAAAGAAGTAGAGTTAGATGGAGGCAGCTGGAATGCTACCACTAGTTCCCTCTCCAAACAGCTCCAAACAGCTTGTGCAGCACAGTCCAAGAGTTCTGTAGCCAAATAAGTGTACTTTTGGTCAACAAGTCCTCATACATCAGTAACAAAAATAAGCTAGTAGCTTAGCTCACTACATTTTCCAAGCTTGCCCAACACTGATTATTATTATTGTTATTGTATATTTAAAAATCAAATATAAAAATGGTTCATTGGGCTTTCTGACTTGGTGCACTCTCTAAGGGCCAGCCACCACTGCTATAAACCATCCACCAATTAACAATGACCTCCTTCTTAAGAAAACATTACAATACTTGTACCAATGATTTGGATTACCACAAGAGGTCGCTTGTCAGGGAAAACATGTTGTTTTAAACATTTGTGGCATTTTCCAAGAATGTGTTTCAGTGACCAGCAAACTGTCAATGATAATTATAAATTACATTACTTTCAGAGACATTTTCTGTATGAGAACGTTGGCTAGAGGTTCAATTATTGCAAACAGATTCATCACGCTTTCACAAGACAAATTACTTAACTGCACAGCATCATTGCTGTCCTGTCAATAAACAGGAAAAACACCATCTTCTGCCAAGTGGAAAAGTAATCTCCTTGTTTATGAGTACATTGCAGTGGTTAATAATCTGTATTGATTCCCGTCAGGCTGGGTCCAGCGGCGTCTCCCTTCTATGGACGCAGACGACTTTGAGACGATCCCCTCCAGTGCAGAGGAGTCCTCCAACTCTTCAGAAGAGGAAGGCAACAATAAAAATGTAGGAAACACTCAAGATTGCAGCTCAAACCCAGATATCATATAACACTCATGACTGGGCCTAGTTTTAAAATGTATTTAATGGTGAAACTTTACAAAACTCAAAGTTGCAAATCATTTTGAATTAAAACAAGACAAGTTCAGGACCAACCAACAATTTGAAACCTTGACTCAAATGAAAAATGTAGCTCGACTCGACTCATTCCGGCTCTGCTGGGTCACGTCAGCTTTCTACAATCACTCACCGGCCCTTGAAAGCTCTCCACTCATCCTTCACTTTTCACTCCTTTCTACTAAATCCCCTTCTGATCCCCCTGAAAGAGGCTTCACTGCTTAATTATTTCCCGTGGACATGTGTCTCGTTAGCAGTGGGCATCTGACATTTAAGAAGAAAGTGAGGAGAGAGGAAAGACAGTGAGAATTATAGCTGCACAGGTCTGCTGGCTGTGGAAGCCAATGATAATCTGTGTGATGTACAGTAGAGAGCCACACAGGCACACAAGCAACACACAAACTGAGCATGTAAGTGGCATACACAAGCACACACTCTCTTTTTTAATTTTGCATCATGCGATAGATGACAAATTCAAATATTTCCATTTTTTAAAAAATCGAGAATTTGTGAACTCAATACAACTTGCAGACAGCAAAGAATAAGTGAGACACCCAACTTTCTGTGGTGTATTGATGTAATCAAAACTTCATACTCATCTACACTGTACAATATTACAGTACAAACTAAAATAGTCAATCGTTTCGCAAAACTGTCAAGGAGAGGGCAGTTTGCAGTCATCCTGTCAAATTACTTTTGATCCCTTTCTGTGCTATGCTGATTTATATGTTTTTATAAGCAAGCAGTCAAGAGGAGAGTGAATGCTGGACTTGAGTTCATAATTAATTGGATCAAGTGTGTGTGATGTTCTTGTTGTGGTGTTTAACCTCCCAAACAAGCTGATGGCTGCAGTTTTAACGAACAAATCCAGATTTCACTTTTTTCAACAACCTTTTGCATTTCTTCAAAATTTACCATAACTCAAAGACTTAGAAACCCTACAGTTTTGAGGGGAAGCCTAATTAATGTGCACAAACTGCAGCTACAACCTGGACATGAGATGAGCAGCAGAGCACCATCAGGCAGGTTTCCTCGCATCAGAACCAGCTCTGCATGGACTGCATGACTATGAAACTTTATAGCTAGATTTCACCACACCACTATCACCTGCTCATATTTATTTATACTATGTATAATATATAACCACTAAGGTCACTTTATGTTGTTATTTATTATCATTTTCACAGAATTCATTTTTACAGCATGAATTACCGTTTGTTTGTTTGTTTGTTTTTTTATTTTATCCATATTTTCATAATATTCTCAATGATGACTCTGCTACAAATATTTAACAGGGAGATTCCAACCAACGAAAGTGATGTGACATGACCAGCTACAGTAGATCATTTAACAAGAGTCACCACTCTCTCTAACTTTAAAACACTATTATGTAAGATTAGTTTTTTTGTGTGAGCAAGTGTGACAACACAAGACATAGCAATATTACAGTATTATTTAGAAAGAATGCCAGCTCGTCATCTGTCTTGCAGCCTTTTATTTCACGTAGCTCTCGCCAACATCTTTTTCTCTTTTCAGCTTCCTCCGTAAATGTCCTTTATGGTCTCATTGCCTCTTCCATTAGCTAACGTTATGTCCATAGAGGCTGCTGAGCCCGGTTATGTTGCCTTCTCTCCCGGCTGCGGCGGCGCTCTCCTCCAGCAGCAGCATACCAATACCAAACTTGGGTGGCAAGCTGGCCAACAAAGCTAGACAGCAGCTGACGCAGAAGCACTTACAGTAACGTCACCGATGTCCGATGTGTTATGTAGTAAGTTTGCCAAAATATACTCAATATTTATAGCCGTATATACGTAAAACCTCTTTGCTCGAGTCGACAACTTAAGACAGGCAAACATCAAGCAAGTTATTACTGACTTAGTCCAACAGAAGGCCAGCGCAGCACCTGTCCTGCATCCTTTCAGTTCGTTTAGCCCACACCGACAAGTAAAAGCCAATCCAATATTTACTCTTTTCTGTCCTCTTGCTTGGTCAACCTCATGTAATCGGCTGCTGGGATTTCATGTGAATGTAATTTCAAATAAATGCAGAGTTGGACTCAGTCGATTCTTTCTGCAGGGTGACAGTGGTCGTTACCGGGTGCAGCTGACCTATGAGTCTCGTGAAGCGAGCGACCTCTCTCTGGAGAAAAGTGACCTGGTCCAGTTTCTAGAGGAAGCGGAAAACAGACACTGGTGAGTTCTAGCTAGCTCCACCACACAACTGTTGGAAATTAGAGAGAAGTTAAAAAGAGACTAAAACAAAAAGTACATGTGAAGGACAGCATAACTAATATCAGTTTACAAGCAAACCAAATCTCTAACTCTGTAATCGCTCATTTTAAATGTTGAGAAAGCTCTTACAACTGTTGTCACAATTATAAAACACTATTTAGTTTACCATGTGGCGCTGCAGCTTGGATGACATTTCAGCCACGATTAAGCCACTAGGCTAGTTTGTCTTTGTTCCATTCTGACAAAAGAAACAAAAAAATATGTAAATGAGAACAACTATATCATTTTGAGAAATAGCCATGGGTCCTGATATACTGTAAAAAACATGGACGCAGTCTCCACGACGTCACCCATAGGTTTTTGAAGAGAAGATGTGTAGGGCCATCTTGGCAGTCCCTGACTCCAGCTAATCCAAAAATAGACAAAGAGTTGGAGCTGAGACGGGCCAAATGAAAGACCTAGCGCAAGGGTCAGCAAATAAGTCTGACATCGGACCAAATTTTTTTCCAGCCGTTACATGACGGGCCAGAACATTATTTCAGTTAAATTATTTCAAACCGTTGGGTACTCATGTGCATGTTTAGCTCAGTGGGTAAAGTGAGGGACTCCCGTTGGAAGAGTTGTATGATAAATCTCCGGCAGACTTTTTTTTTCTCCCTTGTTAAACAAATTGATTAGCCTATAAGGACACTTTTGCACATGCTCACAATAAAGCATGTGCTGCAGTGCGTGTGCATCCCGGCGTTTGATCCACATTCAGAAACATATGGACACTAATTTTCATTTCCCTGAGAAACAGTGAGGCGGTTGTTTAAATTTTTACATGGCATTGACCAAATGTACAGTATGAGCATACTGTACTGTAAAGGGAGAGCCTGGGGCATGAGAGTCAGTGTCACTGGGGGTCCTGGGCCCTGTTGATGAGGGACACTGCAGACACAAAGAAATTATTCTTTGGCATAAGGCTTTGGTCCTGATGGACTGCAGCCTCCTGCCCGAGGGGTGTCTAAAACATTTTGTGTCTGGGGTGGGAGGGGTCAGCCACAATTTTTTCTGCTCACCTCAGAGTCCTGGAGGCGTACAGGTCCTGGAAGGATGGCAGATTGTTTAAACAACAACAATGGTACAATTTAATACAGGACTGTAGGTTAGGTTGCAGTACATGATGATGGCTTCTACTTTTCTCATCACTTGTCTATGTTGATTCTTGATAATTTAACACTATCTTTGGAGATATTATGAGTCACTAATAGACTGGCTAATGTGCTTTGATTTAAATAAGTAATTGCAGTTATGATAAATCCTATTTATTTTAATGTTTAATTTTTTTTTTTACACACACACACACACGCTTACTGTTTCATTTAGTTATTTATTTTATTTAAATTTTTTATATTTTTAAATTTTTTTAACACACACACATGCTTACTATTATATTTATTTTATTTTATTTTCAAACACACACACTTACTGTTTTATTTAATTATTTAATTACAATTTTTAAGCTTTAATTAATTTTTTAATGAAATGTATGGGGTTGATTATTCTTATGTAGTTTGTATGATGCTTTGGCAATATTGTTGTTACACATTCATGCCAATAAAGCTAATTTGAATTGAATTGAAAGAGAGGGCAAGAGAGAAAGAGAGAGAGGGATGGAAGGAGAGAGGGGAGGGAGGCAGCCTACACAATATCCACACAGAGGTACTGACAGTGAAGGTAATGTTGCTATAGACTAAATGAAAAATGGTACAGATATTTATAATAGTGTTAATGATAACAGTCGTAATGTTAATGATTATAATAACAATAATAACAACAGGACTAGTAACAATAGTTGTAGCAACCACAGATCCAGACTCCACAGCTCCAGAGCCAGAAAACCTGCAGGAAGTGATAGGAGGAGAGAGGAGAGGGACGAGAAAGCACAAGACTACCAGAAAGGGGAGAAGTTGTGTTAGTAACATGCAATAATGGGATGAGGTTACATACAGAGGGAGAGAAAGTAGAGGAGAGAGGAGCTCAGTGCATCATTTATGCATACAATATGTGCCTGTTAGGATGTTGTTTGTGGAAAACTATCTAAATCTGTAAAACCTGTATCCCTATTTTTCAGGGTGTACATGTTTATATTTGAATCAGGCTGGGTAACAACTGAAATGTGTTTTTTTGTAGCACAGTATCAAACTGTCAACCACCATCAGATTTCATAATCTTATTTAATTAAAAACTTTTAATTTGATCATAAATGAAACCAGAATTTTGCCATTTTTTAGACTATTGTATTTTCTTGTACAGCTGATTGTATTTAGATATAATTTAACATTTGTGAAATCAGCATATTCTGTTAATTGAAAAAAATATATTCTGTAGAATGTTTGTATTCCTCAAAGGTTTTGGTTTGGTATTGTGCTGAATCGCTGAAATCAAACCTAATATTGCATCAAATGAATCATTACAAAACACTTCCCAATCCTGTATATAAACCTGGACAAATTAGCACGAACACCTTACACTGTCAGGACGTGCCAGTGATATGTGCGTCATGTGTGTCATACCTTGTGACACACTGCCACTCTGTCCACAGTGTGTGCTGCCTCTAGCCTAATGCATGCTGGGCTCCAGCCTCCCATGACCCTGAAGCACAAATGGATATAAAAATGGATGGATGGACCTTACAATATAATGCAGTGCAAAACAACAACACTATAAACTTCAGATATTGAGTTGAATCCACCCCCTCTGACAGGGTATCAAGAAAAATCGGACATTAAGCTTCAGTGCGGCAGCATTTGATGCAGAGCTGTTGGATTGTGTTAAATTGTATTAGTGTTCATGGTATTTTGTAGTTTTGCATAAGGAAAGCCTTTTTCAGCTTCCTCCACTGCTATCTGTTATCATTACCCACGCCATGCTTCCCTGGTTATAAGTCTATCTTGAGTTTGGTCCACATTTATCAACCAAACCTGAGGAAGGAAATGAGAGCAGTGCAACAGCTGCTCCTCTGCTGCCCTGCTCTCTTTCTCTACCAGGATAAAAGGCTCAGTGCGGCTCGTTTGGGAATAAAATTTTATTCACTAACATTACCTTGATGAAACAGTGGGAGATAGAACAACAAAACGACTAATGACTAATGGCCTATTGCCAAATCAAAGGAGGCTGCTGAAAACACGGTGGCTTCAGATGAATAATAAATCATCAGTTTCATTCACCCTAGCTCAGCCATCTATCCTTTTGACTCACCAGAAAAACAGGGGCTACTGCCTTTATGGAGAAACAGTCTCTGGAATCCATCGCTGAAAGAGTGGTTTGGTGTAATGAAAGCTCTCTGCATTTGGAAGTGACTAATCCTCTTTCAGATAAAAGCTCGACTTGCGTTGAATATGCTCTTTTTTCATCAGCTCATGCATATTTCAGCCCTTAAAACAACCTCCTGTCGTCTGCATCTGTGGGTTTTTGCTGCTAAAAGGTCCCACACACTCGCCTCTACTGTACATTTGAGGAAAATAAAGAATTCTGAAGTCCTACCTTTTTTATTAGCTTTTTTTTTGGATCAAAGTTCATACAACTGTATAGAACTTTACACAATGTGCCTTATGAACTGTGTGTGTCACATACACCCTCAAATATGTATGTGCATGGGTGTGTGTGTTTGTGCATTTGTGTATGTCCATGTGGATTTAGCTACATGATTTGTGTGTATAGATAGGCTTCTGGGAAGTGTGTGTTTGTGTATGTGTCTGTGTCACTTTTTCCAACACAAGCCGTAATATGCTTGCTAACGTACGTCCCATGAGTGTGTTACACCTCTCCAGATTTTGCCTTTCATTTCACACCCACAGTGCACACAGTGTCCCTGTGGCAGCCCCTGTGGGCTTGCTGTTAGCAATGTGTGGTATATTTGTGTAAGGACTGAGAACACATTAGCACACCTGAGCACATCCTGACCAGTATGATCAGAATAAAGAGGGAATCATTTCACTCTGATGTGTAATGTCAGAGTCTTGCAGACACTACCTTTGTCTTCAAAGCCAAATTTTACCAAAGGTAGAGGCTGGTGGCTCAACTGGAAAAAGAGGCAGATTACAGTCATGATTTGGGAATCACAACTGATCAGACCGAGTTGGACAGAACTGATTCCAGTCAGGCCAGTCGCTGTTCCTGCAGACAAAGTTAAAGAGAGATAAAATCATACCATCCGAAGAATTACGTTTGTATTAGATGATTCATCAGATAACTGTTTCTGTCCAGTGCCAATGTTCAGTGTAACCTTTTAAAAAGAGAGGTGAGAATAACCCACACTTTCCAGTAGCTGCAGTCTCCAGAAGAACCTAGAAGTTGTTTTGCTTGTGACGCAAACAGCATTGTTCACATACTTGCCTGCGTGCTTTGCGTGTACCTGGAGGTTTAAACGTAAATCCACTAGGGGGCAGATCAGGGCTAGATCATCCTTCCTTGACAACCTCCAAATTTGCACGTAAGCAAACCAAACATAGCGACACTCAAGGAGGTTGTGATTTTAATGAGACATCATTACAATCTCGCTAATTGCAGACTAGCTCCAGGAGTTTTATTGTAAACATCCCGCCATAAATCTCCTTTTTTTTAAAGTCTGCTGCTGACCACCTTCTTCTTTTGTGTTTAATGGCGGTTGGAAAACCAACTGCATACCACCACCACCTGGGCTGGTGTGTGGAACAGGAGATGCTGCTGACCTGCCAGTCAGGTTGACATACTGCAACCACGTTCATGTGCTGAATTGCATCTCGCTGACGTGTAGCGTTAATTTGTGGAGACGTGCACAACCTACGCTCCAGAGGAACGCAGGATGCGCGTGGCAGCCATTGCGTACGCGAACATGCAGTTAAAAGCAAGTATATCAGGGGCTTAGCCCTCCCCAATAACTTTTATCAAGAGTTTTAAATGTAAATGCTCCGTATTTGTATTTGGCCGTTAATCGGAAGGTCGGCGGTTCAATCCCCAGCTCCCCCTGGTCGTGTGTCGAAGTGTCCTTGGGCAAGATACTGAACCCCGAATTGCCCCTGGCGGCTGTTCCGCCAGTGTATGAATGTGTGTGAATGATAGTTTTGGTTTGAGCACTTAGGCTCAGTGTGTGACTGGTGAATGCAGATGTAGTGTAAAAGTGCTTTGAGTGGTCAAAAAGACTAGAAAGGCGCTATACAAATACGGAGCATTAACATTTACAATAGAGTGCAGAGGACAATGCAGGCAATTTTCAGGCTGGTGTTACGTTACTCTTAAGGTACCATATATTTCTGTCATACTGGCTAAAATTCACAAATCCAGTTTAGGTCTTTTACATGTTTCTAAACATGTTCAAAGGTGAGGACATCTGGTCAACCAACCATCAGTCTAGTGGCTTCATTGACAATATTTCAATGAGACTTGTATGTGAAACATGCACAGCCCTTACTCTCCTTCTCTTTTTTTGATAGTGTGTGACAAATTCCTCACATGCTATCTCTTCATACTCCTCACTTTCCCCTCTTTTCTGTTACTTTCATCTGTTTCTTCTTCTGTTTCTGAGGATTTCTTGGAGGACAGAATTCTATGCTCTAGCAGTTGACCTTCAGTATTGGTTAAGTGGAGCCCATTACCAGAAGCCCTCTTCACCTGTTTGTGTTGATTGCCCATTTATGCCGTCCCTATGATTTTTTATGCATTATACTGGGCTGATGTTGCAGTTATTGAACTCCTTACTATTATGTCTCCTTGTTTTACACTCCTATTAAAGCTGTATATTTTAGAGATTTATGTTGTATTGGCACTGCAGTACAGCTGTGCGTTACTCTTCTTGCCACAGTTTGTCCATGCCTGTTTTATATATCATTTAACACTTTTGAAAATGGAATCTAACTTCAGTCTTTATTGTTTTTCCAGATATCTTCAGTGATCTGCATACAGCAGCACTCTCCAACTTGAACGAAAATGAAGCAAGGACGTGTTTCAGGACAGCATATAAACATGGCTGACTACTGACAAACATTTTTTGTTGGATCACAAACATGGCTTATAACTCAACTGTAATTTGCTATGATGGGCTTTAAATATGAACAACTATTCATTTTCTACTTGTAGTTCTTAATGTTGGACTACAAATATGGCCTGCTATTGTTTTTCAACTGTAGTTTTTTCTCATTAAAGCTTCTCAGTGAAACCTCTGTAAAATGCTGGAACCTTTACATGCCTGAGTGCCACAGTGGGAAAGCCATATAAGAATTCTAATTCAAGGAAGTACCAGCTGCCAACTGTGGACTGAAGACTGCATGGATGTGGACACTGAACTTTATATCAAATTTGAATTAATTCAGATTACGCACTGTAGAATATGCAATTCCTGAGTGGTTGGGCTGGATACCTGGAAACTCAAATCCCATTTCTGACTCGGATAAACTCTTTCAGACCAGCCTCTGATGAGGCGCTTCAGCAGCTTCGCCTTTTCAGGCTCAAAATACTGACACTTTACAGTAGCTGCAGTCTCCAGAAGAACCTAGAAGTTGTTTTGCTTGCCTTTTTTTGCCCTGGTAGAGCACCCACATAATGGCATTACATATATGTATTATCTCAACTTGCTCGTTCTCCCCTTTTAGACTTGCATCTGTATAAATTGCTCCAAGACGTTAAGAGAGATCATATTTGACTTTATATCCCAGTTGTTCATCTCTGTGAAGGTGAAAAAATATTTATTTTATATATGGTTTAATCCATCAGAGGGAAAAAACTTGTTTCATATCCTCACGTGTTCTACATATAAAGCACTTTTTTGGACAGACACCTTTTATATGTATATCATTGTTTAGAGATCATCTCATGGTTCCTTTTGGCATAGGTAGCGCCAAGACATCATGCTTGGGGAGGTCAACATTTAGTGGTCAAACAGAACAGCTTTTGGGGGGGGGGGAGTCCAAGACGTAGTTCTCGGGACTGAATTTGTTATTATGTATTATGTTTGCTACATCCATTTACATATGAATCTAAAGCAAACAACAATGATAAAGGAATGTAACACTGTTTGCTTGTTTGTTTTTTGTCACTTGGTGCAGAAACTGCCATATAAAGCTGATATGGCTAACATGTTAGCAAAGAATTGCCAATTTACACAGAGACATAGAGTTACTTTGGGATTCATTTGGAGTTGTGTTTTTGACGTCCTGACATGTAAGTCAAATATTAACTCTCCATCTAGCTATTTTTTGGTCTTCAACTTTTGAGAGCTGCGTAAATTCTCTGTGTCGAGACAACCTAATCGCTAACTTTGTCTGTCTGCCTTCTGGTCACAAGCAAGATGGCTTGTTTGCCTAAGGCAGCCTTCTGCTGTGTCCAGAAACAAGGAGTAGCACCAAACAGTGAGTGCCGGCCATAAAACCAAAACAATGAGCTAAAAGAGGCTATTAACATCCATAGAGCTGAGCGGAACTGCAGAGCTGGGTGATAATTCTCTACGGATTATCATTACCAGCAACCCCATTCACATGCCACATAGTTATTTGACTCAATATTTAAATAAAATTATTGATTGGTGTGGCTTTAAAAGAAACATGTGTCAACAATTGAGAAAATCAATCTATACCTATCTATCAACAGTTACATTACTTTCCAGCACAAAAAGCCTGAGAGAAATAAATGAATCATAATGTGTTTCCAGTTTTTCCGTTATACATGTACAGTTAATAACAGACAGAAGAAGCCAAATGGCTTTTGATGGAAATTAAGCATTACAGCAGTATATCTCTTCTTCAGATGGCTGGGGTGGTGGTTTTAACAAATCTCTTTAGCATAATGGGATTTTCAATAGCAAGCTTTTTGAGCACATTTCACTCTTTTGCTGCATGTCAGAAGCTCTCAAAAGGCCGGACATGTACAAGCATTGTACTTTTATGCATTTTAAGACTTGATGTAGAATAGCTCCGCTAAAGATGTTACAGATATGAGTTTGCAAGAATGTTGAAGAATGTGTAGACTTTATACCATTGTGAGTAAGCTAATTTTCAATGGATATTATTTCAAATATTGAATTAATTCATGGACACAGATCTCGTCATGTCCTCTTGATTTATCTCCACAGAGACCAGATTGATTGTATTCTAACCTTAAAATTCCTTTTTTTGAGTGCCGGGTCATTTGGCCGAATCCAAGCAATTGTTCAGCTTTCAGCAATATCAGATTCAGGAGAGTTTGCTTACACCAGTGTTTTTGTTACCTGGGATTTATTACCCAGGGCCCCAATGGGGGGAGGGCCCTTGAGAATCCTGGAATGAAAAGGTTTTTTTTGCAATGTTATATTTTAAAGCAAGTAGTTTCATAACGATGTTAAAATTGGCCGAACAAATCGGTTGAGAGACTGAACTTTGCATACCCCCCAAAGAAATTTCAAAATAGTGGAGGCTCTGAGGCCCCTCTCACCCCTTCCAATAGAAGCAAAATAGTGTAGTCTGCCACACACTGGGATTTATCTCTAACTCTGATTTCTGATGTAGGAGCATAAATGTGTCTTGTGACAGTCATGTCTGTTGAAATCAAGTTACCAAAAAAGAAAAGAAAGAAAGCAAAGTGAAAGAAAACAACTGCCAACTAATTTCTCTCAAAACAAAGTTGAGCACAGTCACAACTTGCATTTAAAGAATAGTTTAAGCTGATATCAGAAGTTTAGATTGAAGGCAGGAATCTAGCTTGATGCATATTTGCATAGTAGGCCAGAACATAAGTTATTATCAGCATCATAAATTAAACTTTCTGAAGTTTGAATTATTTTGATTTTAGGCCTACATTCCTTTGAACCACTAACTTACACTGTGGAAGATAAATTAAATGGGCTGAAATTGTACAAATGGCAATGTAATCATTTATTTGAAAGTTGATTCTTGTTTCTGCAAATCAAACATGACTCTAGTGAAGTCTTGCTCCGTTTAATAGTATAGTAAGTGTTTACTCAATGTAGGGCTTTCACAGCTATGATTTCAGCTTTGTCTTGTATGTCTTGTTAATGAATGCTTCATTAAACATGAAGAAAAAACATGTATTATTGTTATTGTTATAAACATGATAGTCAGCAATCCTCATTTAACCATAGTAAAGTAATTGTAGGATACAGTGTGTTGATAAAAGAGGACTGAAATGTGGTGGGATTTCAAACTGTGTAGACTTAAGCACAAATCACAGATTTGTATTACTCGTAGGTGTCATTTACGCTGGGGACTGCAAAATCAGGTCACGGACTGAGACCGACCAAACAGGACACAGGATTACACTAAAACATGGAAACCTAAGACTAGGGACTCAAGCAGGTAAAAAACATGCAGATAAACATAAGAACTAACTTTGCTACAAAACCCTAAACATGACAAGATCAAATAAAGTTTATAGAAACACAGAACCCAAAACCATGAAACCAGATACAGAGTAAACTAGGACATGTGAATGAATAATAAACAAGGCTTCATAGAGAAACACAGAACCAAAAACAGACTTAAACAGGATCAGTAGAACACAGAACAGGCGAGAGATTAATTGACTATCAAAATTGTCGTTAGCTGCAGCCCTACTTTGGGAAGCTGTCAACGGCTTATATACTAACGTAGCTAGCTACCTAGCTAGCAATAGCGCTTTCGGTCTAGACAGGGCGTCTCACCCTTACCCTAACCATCACAGGGGGGTGTTCCTAACCCTAAGTCAGCGATTGTATGCATGGCGACTAGCTAACCCTACAGCTTTGCACGTTATCCGTAATAGCAGCTAGGGTTAGCCTCCTTTGTGTTGCTACTTTGTTAAATTGTTGTCATTATTAGAAATAAGAAATGTACCGCTGAATAAGGTTTTTCATATCTTAAGTATAATCCTATTACATCATAGTGAACAGTTTAATCTCCAGTGATTACAAACATTTGGTTTTCTTTATTTGAAAGATTTAGTTGGATTATTTTGAATAGGCAGATTTTCAGTGACCTTCTTTGACTAACCGCTTTTGCGCACGTGCAGAACGGATCTGGCAGGCAGCACAGATTTGGTACCTACACTGTCCAAGGCCTGAAAGTGACCCGCATGTGCAGAATAATAAAACGACGCCACACGCAGCAGCCCGCTGTTGTGCAGAGGTAAACAAGCCACAGAGGTTAGCTCCGGTTAGCCGCGGTTAGCTCCTACTACTTCATTGCCGGTTTACTCCTGGTGTCACATCTAGGCGGGGCAGCTGGGGCTCAGGAGGTAGAGCGGGTTGCCTGTTAATCGGAAGGTCGGCAGTTCAATCCCTGGCACCTCCAGGCTGCATGTTGAAGTGTCCTTTGGCAACATACCGAACCCCGGCTGTTCCACCAGTGTATGAATGTAGATGTAGTGTAAAAGCGCTTTGAGTGGTCAGGCTATACAGAGCATTTACATGTACATCTCTCCCGAATTAAGACAAATGTTCAAAACTTTCCGTCCTTTCCATGACATCATTACTGTTTCTGCCGCTGTACAGCCCATCTGCCCAACAACTCTCTCTCGCTCTACTGCGTCTGCTGGGATAAGTAGCATGAATGTTACTTATACATGTTCTCGCAAAATGACCATGTGTTTTCAGGTGCTGTCATACTAACACTGTATTTTTAAAAACATATTCTGGTATTTCTTTTTCTAAAGGACTGCCAACACCATGTGATTTTTCATTTATTTCCCCTTGCTGACTAGCAGGTGAAAATGATGAAAGAAATTACTTTTTTCTTTAAAACTTGCTTGAGGTAGATCTTGTAGATAAAAAGTAGCCTTCAACAGAAAATAATCTATTTATTTGGACCCTAACAGTGAGCAGACCTTTCTCCTTTGTGCAAAACTACAAAAATGGCAACCAAAGTTGTAATAAAACTTTGTCTTCCTTATACAAACTCAAGGATTATTCAAGGGTATAAATTATAGAGCTCAATCCCCAGGCTCTCTACATTTTAAAGACAAGGTAGTGCAATTTAAAGAGCCATGGTTTCTCAAACCGTGGGCTGCGCAGACCTTGGGGTGTTGCTAAGTTGTCCCTGCTTGAAAACGTAATTGTGGTGAAAATATAATCTCTGTTCAGTTCTCAACACATCCATTTGCTGCTTCACAAAAAATAAATGTTGAAAATGCTGCGGTTGCTGCAAACTCATCTTTCGCATTCAAGAGGAACTCTTTTCATCAAGGGTCCAATCATACAACTATTTCCTTGCGACATACTTGACTTTCTCTGTGTGTCATTGTTATTTTGTCATAGCGGACTCATGACCAACAGGAAAACACAAGCATTTCACTTTGTGTTGTAACAGTGAATTTGGCGTGCCTGAAACAGCGAGAAAATATTGTCTCTTTGCTATCGGCTGAACAGAATATTAAACCGTACAAACTGCTATACTCATTAAGCGCAAGCCCTGAGAGAAAAAAGCACAGTGAGAAAGAGAGAGATGTGATCTTTTCCCAACACCTCCTTGTGTTCTTTCTCCCAGACCAGATCTGCTTTTCAATTTGCTTTTCCCAGATTAAAGCAGACAGAAGAAGTGCTTCATAAAGTCTTAAATGCTCTAGGTTTTCTGTCTGGCCTCAGACGCTGACATTGTTTAAGGCTGGCAACATTTGTGTTATTGTCTGTAGTGAGCTTAAAAGCATTAAAATAATCACAAGTGAAATATTAGGCTTATATTGATCCTACTTCTGACTTAACGCTGAGTTACTTCAGTAATTTTTAGCATCAACTTCAATATTACAGAGAAAGTATGTTTTGTTTCACCTGAGTTGAACTGGAAAGAAGTTTCTATGTGGACTTTCTGAGGCTACATCCACACTACTAGGTTTTCATTTTAACATGCAACACTTTTACTATGTTGATGCCTGCTGTCCAGACTAAGGCACTGCAACTTTTTCTACGAGGTTTGGCCGTTCATCCACACGGAAACGCAGTATCAGGTTACTGAAACCGAACATTTTTGAAAACTCCTGCCAGGGTTGCAGTGTTGTTGTGTAGACAGCGACGTCAGAGTGTGCGCCGTTATCTGCTGTGTCTGATGTTTTTC